CCAAACATGCCCCAAAATATTGTTAATATTTGACTAAATTAGTTGATTGTTGAATGTTAAATAGTCTGTGTTGTAATATTATTTTATTTTTAACTGTTGAATATTACAATATTATTATTGATGTGTGATTTTGACACCAAAGACCTTGCTCATGCAAAGTGCTAAGAGGTCTTAGAAATTACACATGATTAATTTTAGTTAAGATAATGTTATAACAAAGTAAAAAGATTAAATAATAAATAAGACAGTGAAAATTTTATAGTGGTTCGGATGCTTAAAGCAATTTTTATAGCCACTGTTGTCTTTTATATAAATGTTCTTGGTTATTAGCCAAATTACAAGAGATCGCGAACAACGAACAGAAGTATAAAGACTGTGTATTCAGAGAAAAATATTAAGTTAGTCTCTTTCCGGCGGATGGCCTTTGCTATTTGTGATTATGAAAATCAGAGATCCCAGATATTGTGAGGGAGAGTCCTTTATTTATAGCTGTTGAGTTTAACGTAATGATTACAAGTCTACAAGTGGGTAGGTATCATGCAAATCCTTCTTTGCATCCCATTTGGCTGATAACTTATGAAATATTCTCAAATTATTTGAGGCTTGAACAGATGTGTAGACCTTATTCATTCATAAACAAAACCTAAACCTGTTGAGTTGGTGACAGTTATATTCTCTCTGTCTTGGGGCGACGTGACAGATCCTGAATGGTGTAAAGTTTTTATAAACTCTGATTGGTGCTTGCTGATGTGAACTTACGTCAATATAGATTTGTTAAGCATAACAATTATGAACAGCACAATCTATCAATTGCAGGTGATCTATTTTACGTGCAATGTTTTAAATGCTTTAAATTTCATTTCAATAAACCATTCACAAAAGAAACATTTAAAATTGCAGCAGTTCATTCCAAAATAAATAACCAGTACACTGACAAGATCAATTTTACAAAACGGCACTATCATCTGCTTTTCAAAATAGCTTCGACGGCTCTAAATCGATCTATACCAAACGCCTCTAAACTCAAATCCAGATCTTCTCTCTTCCCTCTTTGTACATTACATATATAATACAATAATCCCATATCAGAACTTAGCTAGGGCAATTTTGATCTCACCAACTGCTTTTATTAAAGCAGTTTATCAAGAACATGTTTAGTCTGGAGCAAGTACTTGAGTTTTCTTAATTAATTTGAAGCATTCTACAACGTATTAATTCCATTAAAAGTCCCATTTTGAGGTTAGAATAAATTAGGTTGATTAATCGTGGGATGGAGATGGGGTCACCATATTCCTGCAAGCCGATTAGGAATAGGAAAGGGTCAATTAGAGAGGGATACGGAGAATAATATGATAATTGATATATATATATTTTTTATATGATGGCTGCCTCGTTAACCGAGATATAATTGTTGTGTCTTCTGCCATGGTGGGATCGGAAAAATAAAATATGCATGGAAGTGGAACCACCACTATTGAAAGAGATCGGTACTCTCCTTTTCCCACCAATCAAACCCCCTTTTACGAAAATTCCAAATGCTAAATTAATGGCAATCACTTCCCCTCAACTTTTATTAATTTTTGGGAGTTTATGCCTTACTGATTTTAGGAGATTTTTAATTAAGTTAATTTTGAAGTGTTTAAAAATTATTATTTATTAGATTTTTCATGAATTAATTTTAACTGGTTTAAAAACTCTTTAAAATCAGTATAGTATATTTTTAAGGGATTTATAAAATACCTTAAATTAAAGTGTTTTGGCTGATTTAAAAATTTTATCCTAAAAAAAAACTCTTCCCACTATTATTCCGTTATATACTCTAATTTGCAACCAAAAAAAAATTTGACGGTCGTTGGAACATGTAATGGCTTTTTAATTAATTATATGATCCATACAATTTGCAGGTACAGACTGAGTTTTGGATGAAATGACAAGCTACAGCTTGGATCTCTCATTCCTACTTTTACAAAAGCTAGATCTGCCCTTGTTTGAGTTTTGGATGAAATGACAAGCTAAGCTTGGATCTCTCATTTCTAGTTTTACAAAAGCTAGATCTGCCCTTGTTGCTGCTGGAAAATAGATATTTTTGTCAAGTTTGGACATGTTCCATTTCACTTCTGAGTTAAAATGGTTTCTTATGGTGACAATAGCAGACAAGCTCCAATGTCAGTTATTTTAGTCAATTTCTGAATACAACTAGCAACTATCGTATTGTTCTCTAACGTAGTACATATGCTATGAACACTTAAAAGAATGCAGAGTTAACAAGTATTGGATCTAACCATACATATTCACGAGGGGATCCCAGATTGTACATTTATGTGCATGTCTAAATACACTTAAAAACTGCTACTAAAAACCCCTTAAAACCGCTACGGTGGTTTACCTTCAAAATCGTTACGATGGTTTATCCTCATAACCGCTACCATAAAATTCCCAAGCAAATCCTATGGGAAAATTGTGTGAAGTTAATTATCTTTAGTGGTCGAATGGTTCAATAGAGATTCTTGAATATATTATTTAAGAGGTTTTAAATTTAAGTCTCTCATTAGTTACTAATAGAAGTAGTCATTGAAGTTCTTACTTAATTGGTAATTTCAAGATCTTGATTGATTAATTGAGATGCTTATATATTGACACTAACACCTGTTATAAAATAAAATAAAATAAATGGTTTGAACTGTGAAGATTTAGGTGACCAAAATCCGAGGAACCTGCCCAGCACCTAATAAATGCTTCATTAATTTGCTTTAATTAGAAGATATAGATACGGTTTTACTGATTCAGAATATATAACCTAAATGGCGTTTGGTTTTGTGGTGTGCATGAGCTCCAAGAACACCTCATCTCAACAGGGGAGCACTAAGCTTTAGTGAAGACGAAGAAGCTTTAATTTACAGGCTACACCTACTGTAATTCACATGACCCCAGTAACTAAACTCAATTATATAGATGAATCATGAATGGTGGTTGGAATATCTTCACTGTAAGGTAATAACCAAACAGTCTTCATCAATGATAAACGAGTGCGCCTACCCAATAGTATATTGTCGGCCTGCGACACTCTAACATATAGTCGGCTGGCATAAAGTTATTTTCCGCGAGGACTTCTCTCGGCGCCCCAATGCAGAGACCCGAACCTCGATGATTCTAAGGACGATCACCGTGAAGAACCAGACGTGTTTATCCTCGGCGGTAGCCATGAAAACGGTAACTTTCGGCAATGTATGAAACCGTAATGGCAGAGAACTTATAGAGTAGTAGTTAAAAAACAAACCGGAGAGGAAGTGCTAAAGAGAGAGAAAGTAAGAACTTAATAGAGTAGTAGTTAAGAAGAACAGTGAGTTTGATTCTCTTTTGTAGTTCATTTTTAATAAAATAAAATAACCTAAAGTGAAACCACTTGATCACCTTTGCACTGCCGAATAATAAAAACTTCTTTGAATGAATGATTTGATGTTAATTTGATTGGTCCATGACTCCATTGAAGTGTGGTGGAAGATGAAGCATAGTCAGCATTGAGTCGGCTGGCAAGGGAGAATTGGGGTGAGAATGCATGTGAGTGGGAATTGGCATCATAGAAGCTTTTTGAGTGATAATTGGAATCCAGAAGATTGAGAAAACATCCTCAACTAATCAGGTCTTAAAGTTAACAATCGATGAGTTTTCAGTAGCCACTCTATTACTAATCAAGGTAGATCGTTTGCAAAACCTCTTGAGTAATACACCCAAAAATTCTAATTGACCGCTTGGCCACCCAGTGATGGTTTCAGGTTATATCGTTAACGACAATAACCAAGTGTGCGTTTGGTTTATTATTTTAGATAGGATTTTGAAAATAATATTGGGTAGTTGGATGGAGTATTACGAGTGTAAATTTAAAATTTATGAAAAAGCCCCTAGGCTTGCTAATTTAATTAAATACCCTAATTATAAAATGACAAACACCCCCCACCACCGCGTGCCAGAATCGACCACCACTGCCGGAATCTAGTCGGAAAATCATGTTACGACACAGATTTGTCGGATCGTGTCGTAATGAGTCGTATGGTGGCCTTTTCCAGCCAGATCTACCACGGATCTGACCGAAAAGGTAAGATCTACAGCCTGTGTGGCCGCGATGGCCGAAAAAGGCCAAAACGACGGCATCTTTGGCTGTCTTTTTCGGTAAACGATAGCCAATTATTGGCCGTCGTTGACCTCACGATGGCCATTTCTTTGGTCGTCATTCACGGCCAATCCGTGGTGATCTGCCGGAAAGGCCAGTCGTGTGAACTTCCGGCCATTTTTGGTCGGCAGGTACGCCGTTGTACGATTCTCGCTACCACCGACGTGGTTGCCGGAATCTGGCAAGTATGGGTCATGGGGTGCTTTTGATAATTTTTAAACTTTTTTTCAGGGTGTATTGATGAAATTAATAACCTTATGGGTCTAAAAGTAATTTAAAAAAATAAGGTAATATTCTTATAATATGCCAAACATTATTTGGAGAGTAAGATTGGGAATGTGATAAAAATAATAAGCCAAACATGCCCCAAAATTATGTTAATATTTGACTAAATTAGTTGATTGTTGAATGTTAATTGTCTGTGTTGTAATATTATTTATTTTTAACTGTTGAATATTACAATATTTATTGTGTGATTTTGCACCAAAGACCTTGCTCATGCAAAGTGCTAGAGGTCTTAGAAATTACACATGATTAATTTTAGTTAAGATAATGTTATAACAAAGTAAAAAGATTAAATAATAATAGACAGTGAAAATTTTATAGTGGTTCGGTATGCTTAAAGCAATTTTTATAGCCACTGTTGTCTTTTATAAATGTTCTTGGTATTACCAAATACAAGAGATCGCGAACAACGAACAGAAGTATAAAACTGTGTATTCAGAGAAAAATATAAGTTAGTCTCTTTCCCGGCGGATGGCCTTTGCTATTTGTGATTATGAAAATCAGAGATCCCAGATGTGAGGGAGTCCTTTATTTATAGCTGTTGAGTTTAACGTGTGGCGATTTTATGGGCGGGGATTTTCGCCTTCCCAATAATCTCAGCGCCAAAAACATCGTTGTCTTTAACTTGAAACTCGAGGTCAGCTACAGGGTGAGCCAAGGGAATAAGAAAGTGCTCGTTCCAGAATGGATTCTGAGAGTTCTTAATGACACGTGTGCGAGCCACGGTGGCTTGCGGCACCGACACGGTAACATAAGGGTCGCTGGTGATAATCTTACTGTGATGATGGTTATCCTCGATTCCATCTCCCTTCTCTTCGGCAACCCAATCGTGAGGCTCCGACTCTGGCTTACTTTCGCTAACGCGACAGGCCGTGAAACAAAGGCGCAAGTGCTCGGACACTATGTCCATGTTCGGCAACCGTCGAGCCTTGATGATCTTAAGATCAAGATCACCGTGAAGATACAAGTCTTTTCCATCCTCGGCGGTAGTAGGCATGATGAAACAGTAAGGTCCGGCAAATGTACGAAACTGTAATTCGAGAGAACCGGAGAGAGGAAAGTATAAGAGAGAGAGAGAAAATAAGAGTGAAAGAATTATGAGATGAGCTGTGTTTGCTTGTAGTCGTTAGTTTCGTCCTCGTGGTAGTGCCGCTACCCATGTTACTATGTATTTAACACTTGATGAGGTAATTTTGTAGTTAAATTTTAAAAAATTAATTAATTAATTAAAATGAAACCATTTGATTACACGAACAAATAAATAATAAATTTAAAATCTATGAATTTGAATGAAATGAGATGATTTTGTAAGGTCGATGTGAGAGGAAAGGAAGAAGAAGACAAAGTGAAGCAATGAGTTTGGCTCCAGCGAAAGTGAAGAGGAAAGGAATCCATAGGTCAGATCGTCAGAACGGAATGGGCAAAGTTCTTATTATTGTTTATAATTAATTACTTTAGATTTTAATTTTTAATTTTTTTAAATTTACAAGAAACTACAGTAAATTAAGTAAAGGATTTTTTGATATTATTTTCAGACTGAGGCCAACGACATTTAATGAGAACAAAGTTATCCACAGATAACTAGATACATGCCTGAAAAAGAATAGATATCTGAAAATTCAGCACATGACAGATGTCAACACAGCATGGCAATAAAAGAATTCTTAAGAGTGGTGGCTGTGTGTGTGTAGGCGGTTGAAGGTGCCCTTTGTTTTCTTGAGAAAAGTAAATCCCAAGTCTAAGATTACTAACCAACAAAGTATATACATAAAATGAAATCGCAAAATTATGCTCTACATGGAAATCAGTAAGCGTACAAAAAGAAATGCTGAAGTTAAACAAAAGTATGTTTAAGATGTGGCAAAGAAAGCCACTTATCACTCAGAAATGAAGATTAGAAAATCACCCTGAACCTGGTTGGTAACATCGAAAGAGGACGAGGTCAGTGTGTGTCATCGAGCGGACATCACAGAGGATCAATCAACCTCCCCTCTATAAATGTGTTATCTTTCCTTGATTAACACTCGTTCCGATTTTACCGGATGCTTGCGTGTCAACAACATAACACATTTCTGATGGTGTGTAAAGATGTTACCAACCAAATCTGGACAACAACATCATCATACAAACATTTTACCCATCGTTATTCCTAAAGAAGAAACAAGTGGTTTTCTGAAACAATAGAAAACAAGCGATGACAGAAGAGAACCAAAAATTACAACAATTATTATATTCAGCCTCATGTCAATGATTTTGTGACATTTACATCAATACTCATAATGAGCTACAATCGAGTCTAACTATAACAGAGACAGCAAATTAAAATGATAAAAGAGGGATATAACATGCCTTGTTGTTTGATGCTAACCTTACTACTACTCTTACACAGCATACGTGTGCGCACACACAATTCACATGATGAATTGCTTGAAAAATCCTTTCCGTTTCTTTCACGGGTGCCACACTCCTGCCTGCATATTTCAGCCAGTGAAATGTCAATAGAACATGGAAACTACTTTTTAAGAAGACGTTTTCTCATTATTTCAGACATGTGAAGATTGTTCCCAAATTTGTTAACAAAAGTTGAAAGCCTAATATTACATCAATCACATTTCCACAAATATTCTGACAAAATGTTGGTTTCATACTCACCCGTTTGACTCCGACTTGTCATAGGTCTTATCATCCCGATCAACAACGAACTCTCACACCTTCCTCCATTTATAATACTTGAGCAGTCACCGAGTGTCATCACCACGCCGCTGCAACGCGGCCGAGTGGGCTCTTCTAATAAGCTTTAACTTCTCAAACACAGAGACCAAGCCTACAATGTTACACCAAATGGTGTAGACCTCTGAATGGCATGACAAATGTCCTCCCGAGCAGCGCTGGCCTGCTTATATAACCTGCCTTCTCCACATAGTTTAATGTGAGGCAAGACCCCCCTTTCACGTGAGCGTCTTGGTACAGCGTCACTTGTTTCCCTTTCGTACCGGAAAATACGTGTTTTCGAACTCCTTCCGCTCAGGAGTTACCGGCAATGCCGTAGAGCGGTACAATGGATTTTTTTTCACACGGCGTGAATTTCATCTCCATTAGCAAGGCTGTGTCCGGCTTATAGCGTCTAACCGTTGTAGCCCGCTTGATTGGGAACCATCCGAGATGTGGCTCACAAGAGCAAGAAAACAATAGCACTAGAACTACTTGCACATGAAGGACGTTTGAAAGTATAATCCTATACAGTTGATTTTGAGCTAAATAGAATGCATGGTCTAGTATCAAACAATATTATAATGATTTTTTTATAAATGTTGTTGATGTAGTGATACTTTGCTAGAAATGCATCAACATTGCAGATTCAGTTGGAATTGTTTTTGAAGCCTGTTGAAGATAGTTTACTGCAGTGGTCCAACGTGCATGGCTGTAGTTTTTAGTGTATTGTAGTTGAATGGCTTAAGTATAATTAAGTCAGTATTATGGTGTGTATTGTGTAAGAAATATTAGTTGTTAAGTTTTTAAATTTGAATTTGTAATGTTAGTTGTTGAATCAACAGAGAGTTGTTAAGCTAATGTTTATATTGATCAACTTCAATGAAAACCATAGACTTTTACATATATGCTTTGAGTTCTCTTTATCTTTCTTTTGTATTCTCCGGCCAAGAACTATCGAATGGTATCAGAGTCACTCACAAAAATTTGAAGTTTCTTTCATTCAACCATTAACCACAACTCAAGAACACCTTCCTTTTTTCAGCAAAAAACTAGCTTGCATTAGCTCATTTTTCTCTCTATGACAGACATAAAAAAACAGAGACATGGCAACTCAATCTGTTGTGATGGCACCACCGATGTTCAATGGGGAACACTATCATATATGGGCTGTTAAAATAAAGGCCCTCCTCCGGGGTTAAGGGCTATGGCAGTATGTGGAAGAGAATAGACAGACATCACCTTTGGGACCAAATCCTACTTTGAATCAGATCAGAATACATGAAGAGGAAGCTACCAAACACCTAGAGCTTTCTCTCACATTCATGGAATAGTGACTGACCTTGTATTTACAAGGATCATGGCATATGAGACTCCAAAGGAAGCATGGAACAAGCTGAGAGAAGAGTAAATGGGCGAAACCACAACAAGAAATATGCAGGTGCTTAATCTAAGGAGAGAATTTGAGATGTAGAGGATGCAGGAATCAGAAAAAGTTAAGGATTATGTTGATAGATTAATGAGTGTTGTCAACAAAATAAGGTTGATGGGAGTGGAGTTGACAGATAAAAAAGTGGTGGAAAAGGTTTTGGTGAGCTTGCCGAAGAGATTTGAGTCCAAAATCTCCTCTCTTGAGGACTCCAAGGACATGACTCAGATCACTTTGACTGAGCTTGTTCATGCTCTCCAAGCTCAAGAACAAAGAAACTCATGAGATAAGAAGACACAAGTGAGGGAGCAATGATAGCAAACCAAAAAGGCAAACCTGCACAAGGACAAAACAGGAGCTATGCTGGGGATAAAAAGGGGAAAGAAAAGAGTATCAATCAGTGGGAGAAGTCAGGTGGAGTGAAGGAGTTTCCAGGTTGCACTCACTGTAAAAAGAAGGGACATTCGGAGAGGAGGTGTTGGTTCATACCAGGGATACAATGCAGGAGTTGCAAACAATTTGGACACATAGAGAAGGTTTGTAAGAATAAGGGAAACAATTTGGGCATATAATATCAAACAATATTACAATGATTTTTTATAAATGTGAATATTTATTTTCAGACTGAGGCCAACGACATTTAATGAGAACAAAGTTAATCTTCACAGATAACTAGATACATGCCTGAAAAAGAAGTAGATATTATCTGAAAATTCAGCACATGACCATGATTCAAACAGCAATTTACTAAAATGAAAAATAGGGATATAAAACATGCCTGTTGTTTGATAATGTTACGCTTGCTACCAGCATAACGTGGTGCTAGCACACAATTCACAGATGAATTCCTGAAAAACCTCTTCGTTTCTTTACCGTGAGTTGCCATCAATCCTGCCTGCACATTTCAGCCAGTGAAATGTATAACCAATAGAACATGGAAACTACTTTTTAAAGAAGACTGTTTTCTCATTATTTCAGAACATGTAAAATTAGTTCCCAAATTTTGTTAACAAAAGTTGAAAGCCTAATATTAGCATCTTCAGCATTTCCACAAAATAAGCTGAATATTAGTGAAGACGACAAAGAAGCTTTAATTTACGGGCTACACCTACTGTAATTCACATGACCCCAGCAACTAAACTCAATTATATAGATGAATCATGATGGTGGTTGGAATATCTTCACTGTAAGGTAATAACCAAACAGTAATTTCATGGACGTTACAGTATAGTTTGGCTCAATAGCACAAAGGTTAGGTGGAATCAATGCATTTTTAAGCATAATTTTCACACTGTAGAGAAAGACTTGGAGCAATTATGAAGCTGACATGGGCTCTCAAAATATTATTCATGAACGTTCCAATCCCCAAAGGCAGAAAGCAGAAGCCATGGAGTTGTTTTTTTTTTACTTAAGGGTGTCTGAGCCTTAATTATGCCTCTCTTTTACTAATCAGACAAACCAAGGTTGATTATTAAATTTGAAACTTGAGACTGAGAGGGTCCACGGCACCAGATAATTAGTGAAGCTTACTCTAGATTAGGAATAGGAAAGGGTCAATTAAAGAGGGATATGGGGAATAATATGATATATATATTTTATATGATGGCTGCCTCGTTAACCGAGATATAATTGTTGTGTCTTCTGCCATGGTGGGATCAGAAAAATAAAATATGTATGGAAGTGGAACCACCACTATTGAAAGAGATAGGTACTCTTCTTTTCCCACCAATCAAACCCCCTTTTACGAAAATTCCGAATGCTAAATTAATTGCAATCACTTCCCCAAAACTTCTTTTATAAATTCTAAGGGAAAATTGTGTGAAGTTAATATATCTAATGATCGAGTAATTTAATAGAAACTCTTAAATATATTATTTAAGAGATTTTAAGTTTAAGCCTTTCTTTAGTTATTAATAAAAGTAATTACTAAATTTTTTACTCAATTGGTAGTTTCAGAATCCTGATTGATTAGTTGAGATAAGTATAAATTGATGTTAACACTCCAGTTATAAAATAAAATAAAATAAATTCTTTGAACTGTGAAGATTTAGGTGACCTAATCCGAGGAACCTGCCCAGCACCTAATAAATGCTTCATTAATTTGCTTTAATTTGAAGATATAGATACGGTTTTACTGATTCAGAATATATAACCTAAATGGCTTTTGGTTTTGTGGTGTGCATGAGCTCCAAGAACACCTCATCTCAACAGGGGAGCACTAAGCTTTAGTAAAGACGACAAAGAAGCTTTAATTTACGGGCCACACCTACTGTAATTCACATGACTGATGACCAAAGTGCCAAACCAAAACCGCCCTACAAGATTAGCAAAATATACGGACCAATAAAAATTCAAAGTCCATTATATTGTGGGTCGTGCCACGCCAGGACCCCTAAAAATTCGTGTTCTGCCGACCTATCAAATTTGAAGACCCATAGCATGATCCACTATATATCATGTCATGCCTTGGGCCGTGCTGTAGGCTGGCTTGCATGTTTTATAAAAATATTTAATATTTATAAATTTTGATTTATTATTAATAATTATTATAAAAATATTTTATATATTATATTTAGTAACATTTTGTATTTATATTAATTAAAAAAATATATAACCAATACGAAATATAATAAAATAATAAAAAATTGAACTATTAATTGAATTTCAACACTTTTTATTATTTAAAAGTTATAATTTATAATTACAAATACAAAATTAAAAATTAAAAATTAGGATTAATAATTATTATACATCTTCAAATATATCTTAGTTGCAAATATGGATTTGTATTTTCTTTTTTTTTGTTACGATTTCTATTTTCATTGAACATGTTATTCATTCTCTTGGAAAGGTAACACCTTTGATTTCATTATGGAATGTGAGCATTGATGATCCTGATCCTNCCCCCCATCTGGCACTTGTAAACAAAAATAAAATTACAAATTATAGATTCAAAATTATAAAGTCCATTACTTTGTAAAGGTAGATTCTCAAAAGTCAAACCAACTTATTTTAAATGTTATGAAATATAAATATGAATATATTCATATTACTTTTTCTACAAAAGTTTTTATTAACTCCCTAATATTTAATTTTATTTTATATTAGTCTCAGTTCCTGGTTCCTGGTTTTGGTTCAAAAAATTTGGAATCGGAACCTACCCATTGACGATTGGTTCTGAGTAGGAATCGGAACCGGAACCGGAACCAAACCCAGGATACCCGTCGGTTCCGGTTCCAACCGGTTCTTTTGAACACCCCTAATATTAATACCTAAAATACACTTCACTTTTTTAGCCGGTGTTCAATGAGTTACCAAGAGCTAAGGTAAGAGGGTTTTTATAGAGTAAAGGTCGGTAGATTGAATGGTGGTGATTGATTGAATATTTGCCGTCAGAATCAACCGAAAATCATCTAAAAACATGAAACCTTAGTTTTATGGTGGTCAGCAATTAGCAAGAAATCAGGTGTCCTAGTGAAACAGATTTTGTAAAGAGGAAACTAGAGGTTCAAATGATAGTGATGGATAGAATTTTTGTTATCGGAATCAGCTTTGAGTAATAAAGGAATATTAATTTTGGGTGGAAAAGTGCCATTAAGGAAAACCTTGGGTGGGAAAATGTTATTTACTCTAATAAATTATGGAAAATGTCGGGCACGTGATCAGTCGTATCCCATTTATGCATAACTGTTGCAGTAATTTCTTTTTTGGTGTATAAAATTTAATGTACGTATAAACTAATTTCTTTTTTGGTGTATAAAATTTAAAATTTAAAAGGAAATTAAATTACTCGGGAAATGGCGTATCACATTAGAGGGAAAAAAAAAAACGATTCAAAGATGGGAATTTCGCAGCTACCATATTTATCTTCTCTGAAACGATGGATCATTAAGGCCCACAGCTTCAGCAAATTTCTTTTGTGATTGGTAATTTGTCACGTCTGGCGGGCTGGGCAGGGCTGGACCCTTTGAAAATGTCCACTGCCATATGCTGTCATTTGAGTCCTTAGATATTAAAAACTTACCAATCACGTCCCCTGAGGATGTGGAAAAAATGGGTCTGGCTGGCCCGGGTTCTGATAGGCCCAGCAGAGGCCCGGGTATATTAATGAGGATTACAGAGCCTTGGAAAATGACTGATAACTGCCTGAAACACATGTAATAACCTATTATTTCAAGGGAGAACGACTTATACATACCCAAGATTTATCGTAACGACAAGTTGATACCCAAAAGGTTTTGAAATGATAAATAGGTACTTTCCGTCATGTTCTGTTAGTGATTTCTGTTTATTACTGTTTATTAATAGTGAAAAGACTAAAATACCCTTAAAAGTTTGAATTTTAGTTTTTTATAAATTTAAAAATTTCAAAAAACCCCCTAAGTTTACAAATTTCACTAAATACCCCAATATATAAAAGTTTTATAAAATAACAAAAACACCCCCCACCGGCAAGTGCCAGTTCCGGCCACCACCCCGAATCTGGCCGGAAAGTTGCGTTACGACACAGACCCGTCGGATCTGTGTCGTAACGCGTCGATCTGGCCTTTTCCGGCCAGATCTGGCAGTAGATCTGGCCTTTTCCGGCCAGATCAGCCACGGATCTGGCCGAAAAGGCCAATCTGGCTGCTGTTTCGACGGCCAGATCTGGCCTGAAAGGCCACATCGGCACTTTACGACACAGATCCATGGGATCTGTGTCGTAATGCGTTTTCCGCCAGATTCCGGCGTGGTGGCCGGAATCTGGCATTGGGGTGGTGGGGGTGTTTTTGTCATTTAACAAACTTTTTATTATGGGGTGTTTAATTAAATTAGCAAACCTAGGGGTTTTTTAGAAATTTTTAATTTATAAAAAACAAAATTGAAACTTTGAAGGGCATTTTAGTCTTTTCACTATTAATAAACAAAAATCACTAACCGAATATGACGGAAGGTACCTATTTGTCTTTCAAAACCTTTTAGGTACCAACTTGTCATTACATATAACTTTGGGTATGTACAAGTCGTTCGCCCTTTTTCAACCAAACATAGGTAGGCGGGCCCAGCCTAACCTGGGTAAGCCCGACCCGGGCTTTTACCCGAGCCGATGTTTTACATGTTTACAAATTACAATTAGTTTACATCTTGTAGTTGGAGCAATTTAAAAAACAATTGAATTTTGTAATGATTTATCTCAATAATGAATCTATTTGAAATAATATAAAGGGTAAAATCGAAATTCACAAAAACAACTAATGTCTTTCGTTAATCGATTATTATTCTTACAAGGGCGGTTATTTCAGTAGTTCAAAACCTATGTGGGGGGGGGGGGGGACGGAGATTGATTTTAATAGGTAGGGGTCTAAAGTTCTTTCTCAACTTGAGGGCCTTTTCGTTTTTTCCCCGAAACTTGATTACTGGCCAACTAGAAAACATGAGTTGACACCACAATTAAAGTTAAAGATAATGCAAAAGATTAATTAAGAAAAAATCAAAAGTTAACAGTGGGCTTAAGTGTCAACTTTCAACCTTATTAATTTTCAAAGTTTAATTATTCTCTTCTTAGTTCTTATATCAAATATAATAATAATTATACATTTGATTGGATTTTTTTTTTTTTTAAAGGAAAAAGATATGAATATCCACGTGTCAAGTGTTTTTTATTCCACATGTCATATTCAGCCTATATTTGACTTGGATTAAATTAAATTCCAAATCCCTAAAAATTTTGGTTAAGTCTGGTATGAATAAACACATGTAACATCATTTGATCGTTACCTAGCAATTTTTTTTTCCTTTTTGTGAGGATCCCACCAAGTATATTTTATTTTTAAGAGGTAATACACTATATCATAATCATTTCATCAAACTGGCATGAACTAGGGGTGTTCAAAACCGGTTAACCGATTTTGTGAATCGAACAATTTTTTCGGCTTAAGAATTTTCCTGAATCAAAACCGAACCGATTAAGGGGAAAACCTGTTTTAATTTAATATTTTATATATTTGTAATAAACCGGTTTCGGTTAATTAGTTTCCATATTCTCCTAAACTGATAATCAAACCAAAAATTCGGTTTTTTATTTTCTTTAAACGAAACTAAACCGGTTTTTCGGATAACCAAAAATTTAGTTCGGCTCGGTTTCTATATTTTTTTTAAACACCCCTAGCCTGAACACCTCGATTAAAAAAGAATAAAAAACCTAGAAGGTTTGAGTAGTTGAGGTACACACATAAACTTTGATTCAATAATTGAGCACATTATTGTTCATCTCAAAACTTAAACAAAATCATTTCTTGATTGAATAAATTGTACATGAACGTTGAAGGATAATAATGTGACAAAATAAAATAAAATAAAATGAGGAGAATCTGGGAAGGAATAGTATATTCTTATTCTTGGATGGAATTGGGAATAAGCAATCCTTTGCTTAAAGTTTACACTTGCAGATGAATAGGAGAAGCTTTGTTTCTTCTCTTCCACAAGTTAACTTCTTTCCTTGGCTCAATGGAAACTTCTTCTCCACGTTCAACAATGGCTTCTTCTTTTTCTTTTTCACAAGCTGTCCAATCAAAATTATTTAACATTCCGCGACTGCTTGAAAACTGCTTCATTTGACCCAAAGAAGGAACCCTTTCAACAACTTTATCGCTTTGTTTTGTTCCATTGAAAGATTTTCTGTTTGCAAAGGGCTTCTTTTTCATCTCTTTTGGAGATGAATTTCGTGGGCTTTCTTGCAAAACAACAACTGGCTGAGTTTTTGACATATTTTTCTTCTTCTTGTTCTTAACTTGGCCCATGCATGAAACTTTTGGTGAGGTTGGTTCTTGTGCCACAAAGCTCTCAGTTTTGGGTTTCCTTCTCATCTCCTTGGGAATCATGGAGATGGTTGGAGCTGTAAAGCCTTTTCTAGCAACTGGGCTGGATGGTGGGCTCAATTGGAAGGTGACTGGAGATGCAGCTTTTGGTAGACATGAAAGGATCTTGCTTCTGAAATTTGATAGCTTCTCCATTCTCCAAATTTTGATGAAGATCTTAGAACTGGTGATTCTAACAAGTGATTTGTATTTGTAGTAAGCAAAGCAAATGAAAGAGTCAAAAGGTTTAAGCAGACAGAAAAGAGAGAACTGGATCAATGGAAAGTACCTAAAGAAAGAATCATTCATAGCCGGCTACAATTTAATATACATTTGCTGAGTAATCAATTGTAATTTTTTAAAGGTCGGCGTCCAATCCTGGTCTCTAGCCATTTTATAGATTTTTGGTACAAAATCCAGAGCCAGATTGAAAGTCAAATGAAAAACTGATTTATAGCATCAAAATTTCCTTCGGGGTTTGTTGCAAAAACTATGTTTTAAAACCTGACCTAGCTTGATGTGACCGGTTTAACCAGACCTAGGAGCTTCACTGGATTAGATTAACATTTTCCCTATTTATCCAAAATCTTAAAATTTGAGATGATGATCAGCGAATAATTGAAGGCCAAAATATTCAGGTTTTTAAAGAAAAAGTGCTAATGAGTGCAATGGTGATAACGGAGTTGATTTCAGATGAGTGAATCTATCAAAAATTGAACAAAATTGGTCATAACAACAGCCAGCTTTTGCTGACAATTGGCGAGGCTAATGAGAGTGTGGTAAGATGGGTTTTAGTCGGAAGGAAGAGAGGAATATTTTCAGAGTGACGAGAAAGGTTATTGACACCGACATCGGTGAGATCTAGACAAAATCGAATTAGATCTTAGATAGATTTTCTAGGAAATAAGCTCAAGGAACGATTGAGATTGCATATGGGGTGTCACTACCGCCAATCAGTCGTCGACCGATTTGTATTTTATGTGTTTGCTAAATCTTAAACCTATAAGGACTTAACGATAATTTTCAGAGGTATATTTACTTAATTTTAAAAGTTTTGTCACCAGGTTTGACCCAATCAACCTGAAACTCGCCAACTTTACTGGGTTTCACCCCAGGTTGGTTATTAAAAAATTGGTATAAACTAGAGAATTGTAATTGCAAGAATTGTGAGTGCAACGAATGTCCATACTTTAAAAAATTGTACAAATAGAAATGGGTCAACCTAGTCGGTAAAGATTTACACCAGAGGTAAAACCCAGTCTGCAGCAAATTTGTTTAAACAAAAAGAAACAAAGTGCAAGTTTATACAGGTTGGAAGTGTTTCTCGATCACTCTAAGTCTTAGTTTGTAACGTGAATATCCCTTGTTTCTCAGTAAAGCACTAGTGATACAGTAATAATACAAGATAATAACGAGCCACTAAATACTATGACGTCCGAGAATGATGGTGATATATCAATTTCTGGATAATTGCCCAGATCTCTACCTCGATGATAAACAAAGATTTAGCGAGTGCTTTGGTCATCTCTTGCTTCGGTCATTTTTCGTACTCTTATCATCCTTGGTGCTCTTGTCATCCCTGTTTGTCTGTGGGGTGTACTGACTAGTAGATGATGGAGAGTAGCCTGGCGCACTAGGTGAGTATCCGGCACTCGGACTGCCCGGAAAAATATAAAAGAAGAAATTGTAAGAACCAAATTTGTAAACTTTCAGTTTAAATTACAATTACAGAAAGTGTTACTTCAAGAACTTAGATAGGAGAGTCTGCTTATTACCTGTACTGTGGAGAACTCGGGCTATAGTCAGGGCTAACCCCAGAATTATATGGACTGTAAAGCGAAAAACAACAGAAACATAGAACTTTAAGCTTTCAAAGCAACTGAAACAACGCAAATCAACACTCCTCTAACTAAAAAACAATATCACATTAATTTTCCTAGCCACATACAGAGACAACATAAAAGATGCTTTTGAAACCTGTTAAACACAATAATCTAGAGCATGTTACCTGCTAGGACTAAATGACGGGCTTGAAGGAGAATAAGATGGAGACGTAGGTGAATATGATGAAGATGTTGGGCTGCATCAAAACACAGGATCAAGGTTTAACAAGAACAACAACAACAATAATGACCAAAATACTGTAAGGCAGCCAAATAACAGCTGGTAAAGTATATGAAAATCAGAAACTAAGTCAATCAAGCAGATATGACATCTCTAAGAAACTTTAAGATTCAGCACATATTGCATTTTGACATACCTGTAATTTGGAGATGTAGGACTGTAAGGACTGGCAGGTGACAATCTAGGGCTGCTTGGTGAATAAGCCAGTGATGGACTGTATTTGGCAGACTGAGGACCGTAACTTGGTGAAGTAGGGCTATAGGTTGGTGAGGTTGGGCTATAACTTGGAGAAGTTGGGCTATACCCAGGAGAGGTGGGGCTATATGCTGGTGAAGTGGGGCTGTATGATGGAGATGTGGGGCTGTAAGAGGGTGATGTTGGGCTGTAGGAAGGTGATGTTGGGCTGTAAGAAGGAGATGTTGGGCTGTAAGACGGCGAAGTTGGACTGTATGCAGGTGAGGTAGGACTGTATGCAGGTGAGGTGGGGCTGTACACCGGAGACGTAGGACTATAACTAGGTGAAGTTGGACTGTAACTTGGAGAGGTTGGGCTGTAACTTGGAGAGGTGGGGCTGTAGCTTGGAGAGGTAGGGCTGTAACTTGGAGAGGTGGGGCTGTAACTAGGCGATGTAGGAGAGTAAGATGGACTAGTAGGTGAATAGGCAGGACTTGTTGGGCTATAACCTGGAGAACTGGGACTATAGGTTGGTGAAGTGGGGCTATATCCAGGTGAAGTGGGGCTATATCCAGGTGATGTGGGGCTATATCCAGGCGAGGTGGGACTATATCCAGGGGACGATGGACTGTATCCAGGGGATGATGGACTATAGCCCGGAGAAGAAGTAGGTGAGAAGGCCATTCCGCCAACATAAGGAGAAAACTGAGCATCTGTAACAGGTGACAGACGGAGATTCGGGCTCAACAAGTAACTTGGAGACATCATGCCGTCGTGATAAGGAGTTCCGGAAATGGGAGAACGAGCAGGTGTCATGCCAAACTCCAGACCTTCCATATAACTTGGCAGCTGAAGTTCAATGGCATTCTTAAGCATCTCATCATTGAGATACAAGGAACAGTCTCCTGTCCCAATTGGTGCAAGCTGGCCAAGCATTATATTCTCAGTGACACCCCTCAAATAATCCGATTCAGCATACACTGCAGCATCAAGAAGAATGTCCACAGTTTCTTCAAATGAGCATCTCATCATTGGCCCAGTATCATTTCGATTGATTCCATGACGAGTGATGGCCATCAAGTGGCCGCGATAGGTCATGGTATCGCACAGGATAGCCAAATGCCGATAATTCACATAAGATCCATCAAAGGATATAACCACGCGCAATTCATCCAGCAGTGCCCGACGAACTGCCTCAATCCCAAGAACTTCAATAATTTCAATTAAGTGATTGCTAGTTGTTCTCCTTGCATCAACATCTTCATGACACATAACAGCTAAAAGATTAACACCTTCTGTATCCAGCATCCACTCGTCCTCCGACTTAAATCCTTGATTCTCATCGAACTTGTTTGATTTACCCTTTTTAATAAATACTTTGTTGATATCTGGAATGCCTCGTAAAGCCATTTCTGTTAGCATGTTACTCTCAATCTTCTTCAGGAAAACATCATCTTCCGCTGATTCATCATTAAGCTCACCCTTCGGGGCTTCGTCATTCATGATACGAATACGCAGGATAAGTTTCTCAGCATTGTCATCATTAAATATACAAGTCAAATCATCATCAAACTCAAGATTGATCTTTTCAGCAATGGCAGCCATGCTTAACTTCTTATCAACCATCATTTCACGATTCAACTGGATACGAAGCAACCAAGGAGATATTTTTTCAGGCGCAACCTCCTCATCTGGCATCTCATAATAAGACTTGACAAATTCAACGTCCTCATCAATTATTGTGCTCATCGGGTCTGGATCATACCATACTTCTGTAGCTGCAGTAACACTACGAAGTGTGGTGTATTCCAATGCACATTGAACATTCTTGGCCCTTTCCTTTGTTGAGTTAACTCCAGGTTTCAGATAAACTGAAAGAGAAGGTGTTTTAATTTTCTTAGCCACATTGATAATCTCCCTCAACCTAGGAACACCAAGAGTGACATTCTTTGCACTCACACCAGCATAGTGGAATGTATTAAGAGTCATCTGAGTGGCAGGTTCACCAATGGACTGTGCAGCAACACAACCAATCATTTCCCCAGGTGCCACAAGTGACTGCAAGAATCGTGACTCTATCTCACCGATAACCCATTCAAATGCTTCACGAGTAAGCCTGTGCTCCTGCAACACTCTTTTACTGGCAAAAGTGCTGCGCAGCAAAATATTGAAGAATAGGGTGGCATTCTTTTGGGCTTCCACGCTCAATGGATCGTCACCAGGGACAACCTTCAGCCGTTCCTGGAGCTTATCAATAGCTTCCACCACTTCCATTGGGTGCATATCAGAGGGCCTTCGTGGATCAACTTTAAAAGTCTTTTGTGCATTCCAGATAAGTCTCTTAAGGTTAACAGGCATAGGCCAAGAACTATCACCTGAGGTTGCAATCTCTGTAGCAAGTTGGAATCTATCTGCTTCAAGCTTCTGAACTTCAGCATCAAAAACATCTTGTAATTCTTTGATTGATTTCAAATCGTCAATAAATTCTTGCAACAGATAATTTGGGTTCCAGTTCTCCTGATCCATCTCAAATCTGAAAGTCTTATGAAACTCTGATTTCTTCATTTTCAAAGAATCCAGTGTCTGCGTTTCTATCCAGACAGCATCCATACCATCTTCCCCATAGAGAAATTGGATTACATCACCCAATGAGTTCCTAACAGTGCCATCATATTTAACCATTATGTCTTCCATAGCCTTCACCAGACGCCTCTGGATGTACCCAGTCTCAGAAGTCTTAACTGCAGTATCTATAAGACCTTCCCTACCACCCATTGCATGGAAAAAGAACTCTTGTGGGGTCAATCCACGCAGGTATGAGTTCTCCACAAACCCTCGACTTTCTGGCCCGTAGTCATCTTTGGTGAAATGAGGCAATGTCCGATCTATGAACCCAAAGGGGATACGCTTACCCTCCACGTTCTGCTGCCCCACACAAGCAGTCATCTGTGATATATTGATGAAACTTCCTTTGGATCCAGCTGTCACCATTGCCTTAAGATTATTGCTCTCAGATAAACTCTTCTGCGCGCTACTTCCAGCATCATCACGAGCCTTATTCAATACCTGAAGATTACACAGAAATTAGTAATAACTGAAAATATCCAAAGCAGAAGCAAATTATTAGAAATAGTTCCACTTAGGCACCTGGTTCACTTTGTTTTCAAATGAC